GTGTTCCATCTGTTCAACTCTGTTCATGTGTCCCTCCATCATGTTGACAGCATCTGAAACGTTGGATCTCATATTTTGGATCATGGTTTCTTGTTTTTCCAGTGCCTTTAATGCATAGTTTGTTTTATCTGCATTGTTTTGGATTGTTTTTTTAAACCCCTCCTGGTTTTTGCTTTCAGTGTCCTGTAATTCTTCAAGGTCTTTCACCCTTTGAAAATATTCAGTGATCTTTCAAATTTTATGTCAGCACACCCATGTTTATTGCAGCTTTGTTTACAATAGCAAAGAGTTGGAAGCAACCTAAGTACCCATCAACAAATGAATGGATAGAGAAGCTGTGGTATAGTCACACAATGGAATACTATGCTGCCTTGAAAAACAAGGAGTTCATGCAATATTATTCAAAATGGGTGACTCTAGAGAACATTATGCTGAGTGAAGTATCTCAGTCACAAAGGGACAAATACTGCATGGTGCCACTGTTGTAGAATGGGTCTGACATCAGGGTTGGGGTAAGACTGAGAAAAAACTGGATAAATTACGTATACTGTATTGAAACAGATGAGGGAAAGAACAGATTAGAGGTGATATATGATTGAGTATTATGGTTAGCACAGGAGTCCAGAATTAAGGTTGCATAGAGAAGTGTACTCGGTGCAGGGGAAGGGGGAGGAGAAGGGATCTGGGAATTATATACCAATGAAGGAATCTTTTTTTCTTTTTCTTTTCAAAGAGAGGAGCCAACTGGTGGGGAGGGGTGGGCAGGGAGAAAAGTGTGGCAGTGAATGAATGAAAATCCAAAATCTCTGTAAATATTTATTAAAATTAATTAAAAATAAAACACAAAATTTATGTCACAAAGTTCCATGAGACTTTCTGGTTTCAGGAAATCTATTGATACTCTGTCATTTTTCAGGGGTAATATTGTGCTTTGGGCTTGTATAGGAAGTGAGGTAACCTGCTTCATTTGTGACATTGCTATGGTAATAAGAGTTTTTCGTGCCTGAGGCGATAGCTGCTTCTTGATCTGATATCACTGCTCCTGAAGAAGGTTGGGCAGACATGCATGCAGATGCACATAGGGTGGGTGCATACGAGAACTGGTGCAAGGGATGGGGGGGCATGCTGCAAACCCACACTGGGGGCAGGGACATGCGTGTGCAGGGGAGACCTGAATGGAAAACCACTATGGCACCGCAGTCAAGCTCCAGCTGTTTCACTCTCTCCTGCTTAAAGTGAAGTTGGTCCAACAATCAGCAGTGTTCCCCCCTCAGTAACTCACTCAAATTCCTACTGTCTTACTTGCTCCTGGCAGGTGAGTCCCGACACAACACACTGCTTACCACAGAGGCTCGCTCTTCCCCACTGAGGCTCGTTCTTCCCCACTGAGGCTCCCAAACTAATTCTTTTCTTAGTAGTTTTCACTTAAATTCCATCTTTCCTTCATGTGTTCCACTAATTGCATGCTCACCACTCTCATTTTATTGCTTTTATAAAGGCATTTGAGGTTGTGGCTCCTAACAAAGTGTAGACATATTGGGGGGAAAAAAATCCCAGGAAACTTAATTGTGCTCATGGCAAACCTATACAGAGTTCAAGAAGCATTTTTCAGAACAGAACAGAACAATGTAACATTACATAGAATATATACATAAGCTTAAAAAAATTGAGAGCAGAATTTCTTTTATTAAAAAAATTATTTGAGTTAAAGTTTACAAAACGTACTGAGTTTTCATTTAATCATGCATAGACTCTTTATTATAGAACAGTCAAAATTGATTATTGTTATTAATTACAGTGTATACTTAAATGCTTATTGTATATTCTTTCCTATCACCTTGCTTATTCTTTTATTAATTTTCACTTCCTTCTCCTTTCTTTATCCAAGATTGATTCTGTATATAAACTCTTCCTTTGCTTTTTATTTTAGTGTTCCAGTATTATCTTTATTTTACAGACTTAATGTAGCACATTTTCTTTAGGAATTCCTCTATTGGTGGATATTTGGATTGTTTTCACCTCTCCCCTCAAGGTATGTTATCCTTACCAGTCCAGTAAGAACTGGTCTTTCCTGGCAACATGGCCAAAGTGTATGAGAAAGAGCTTCAAAATGTTTGCCTCCAAGGAGCAACCTGGTTTTACCCTTCTCTCCAGAACAGACCTGTTTGTTCTCTTGACAGTCCATGGTATGTTCAGTATTCTTCTCTAACATCACGACTCAAAGGCATTGATGCTTGTTCTCCCATTTTTGTCATTGTCCAGCTCTCTGACGTGTAACAAGTAATTGCAAAGACCATGACCTGGATCAGATGCATGTTAGCCTCCAGACTAATGTTACTGCTATGTTGTCAGTCTAGAGGCTAAAAGAGTCCAGCTCACAGTCTCATTTTGGAATTCTCAATTATCAGGGTGATGATCTTCTGCAGAGTGACTGGATCTGACCAAACTTTCAGTTATTATGCTCACACTGTCCACCCTGCTTACCTTTGAGTTAGAACCAACCCATAGCTGACCCTTTCAGGGGTGTTCAGAGGCACAGAAGGATATTGCCCATCCTTCTCCCGCAGAGCACCTTGTGGGTTAGAATTGCGTGCCTTCGGGGTTACAATACAGTTTGTGCCTGATAATATTATATATTGTGACCTGGGGATGACTATGCAAAAACAATGATGTCTTTAAGATTCGTGATAGAGCAGCTTAGTGTATTTAATTCCTGCATAGAGTTGAGTGAGTTTATTTATTTTATTTATTTATTTTTATCCTCACTGTGTCTGTTTCAAAGATCTGGAATTACCTCAGACTGGATTTTCCTTTTGTCTTCGGCTTGGGCATACTTGATATGAACCACCCTGATAACATGGTTCATTTTCTTTTTAAAGAGTTGTAGATATCTAGCTTTAGCCTGGAAGAAGTACTTTGACATAATTCTTTTTGAGTTCTGTTATATCTAGTACACAAGTGTTAGTTATATATTATTATTTTGGTAGGCATTATTACTGTAAATATGTGTGATTCTATATTTTTGTGATGTAAAAGTGATTTAAACTCTAAGTAATTTTTTATAACCAAATTAGATGCTGTTGTTGTTATGTGCCGGTGAGTCTCTTGCGACTCATAGTGACCCTATGTACAACAGCCCTAAACCTTGCTCTGTCCTGTGCCAGTTGCATTGTTTCTGACACACCCATCCCGATTACCCCAGTCACTGAATCAATCCACCTCATAGAGGGTCTTCCCCTCCTTTGCTGGTCCTCCACCCTCCCAAGCATGATGTCCCTCTCAAAGGACCGGTCTCTTCTTACAACAGGTCGAAAGTATGTCAGACAAAGCCCCAGAATCCTTGCCTCCTTGGAGCAGCCCAGTTTACCCTCTACAGGATGAGACTCCAAGTTTTCGTGGCAGTCCATGGTACCCTCAATACTCTTCTCCATCATCACAGCTCAAAGGCATCAATTCTCCTTCTATCTTCCCTAGTTATTGTCCAGCTCTCTGATGCATAACAAGTGATTGCAAAGACCATGGCCTGTATCAGATGCACCTTAGTCTCCAGAAGGACACAATTGCTCTTCAGTACTTTGGAGCAGTCCCTAACAGCAGACTTTGCCATGGCAATACGTCTTTTAATTTCCTGGCTGCTGGTGCCAAGAGTGTTCTTTGTGGAGCCAGGCAGACTAAAGTTGTTAACAATCTCGGTCTCTTCACCATCCATCCTGATGCTGCCAATTGATTCAGTGGTAAGAATTTTTGTCTTCTTTGATATTGAGCCTCAATCCATATTGAAGGCTGCAGGCCTTGACCTGTGCAGCAAGCACTTCTGGTCCTCTTCAGTTTCAACAAACAGAGTTGTGTCATCTACATAACGCAGACTGTTGATAGATCTTCAACCAATCCTGACACCACACTTCTCCTCATAGAGCCTAGCCTCTAGGATAATCAGTTCTGCATTTAGGTTGAAAGGGATGGAGATAGGACACATCCCTGTTGCACACCCTTCCCAATTTTGAACCATGCTGTTTCCTTGATCTCTTCTGCTGACTGCCTCCTGGTGCAAGTATAGGTTTCTCATTAGCACGATCAAGTGTTCTGGGATTCCCCTTCTTCTCAGAATCAGCCACAGTTTGTTATGATCCACACAGTCAAACACCTTTGCATAATCAATGAAACACAGATAGACATTCTTCTGGTATTCCCTGCTTTCAGCTAAGATCCATCTAACATCAGCTACAATATCCCTAGTACCACAACCCCTTCTAAACCCAGCCTGGACTTCTGGCAGTTCTCTGCTGATGTGCTGTTCCAGTCATTTTTGGATAATCTTCAGTAGAATCTTGCTTGCATGTGAAATCAGTGATATTGTTCTATAGTTTCCACACTCAGTTGGGTCACCCTTCTTTGGAGAGGGAACAGATATAGATCTCTTCTAGTCGGTTGGCCAAGTGATTGTTTTCCAGATTTCTTGGCACAGCGCACATCCAGGGTCAGCATCCATTAGCTGAAATATGTCAATTGGTATACCGTTTCTTCCTGGGGCCTTATTTTTTGCTGTTTCCTTTAAAGCAGCTTGAACTTATTCCTTCATCACCGTAGGCTCTTGCTCGTATGTTTTGGTTTTAATTTGAGCTTTTGGCCCAGGACCATATCTTCTTTTTTAAAATTTATTTTACTCTATTTGGTAGTGTTATTCTGATTTCATTGTTGTGTATTTGCATATTTTTGGTTGAAAATTATAGTTACTGGTGATTAGAGAGATAACAAAAGTGTGATGTTGGTGTGTTGTGTCAAACTGTAACTAACTCATAGCTTCGTCATATTTTAAGAGACTGATAAATGCACAGGAGGGTACTGTCCATCTTTATCCTTAGAAGCAGGTGATGGTTTAGCATTTGCTGGTTACCTGCCTTGGGGTTGGTCGTGTTAACTCCTTGAGGCTACTTGAACATCCTTAAAAAAATACAGATATGTAATAATAATGTTACTCTTTTCTGTCTTTTTTTTTCCAGTTTGAACAGAAATCTGGTGCAGTTTTTGATGAAATTGTGGAGAACTGTAAGTACTATTTTGAGAAATAATTTCTTTAGATAGATGATAAATACAAATCTAGAGTATGCATTTAAAGTATTACAGTGCTTATTGAGGGCTGATTTTTGTTATGATTCAGTTTTATTTTGTACAGATATTACCATATCCTGGCAGTATTTTCTACAATTTACTGTAAATTTAGAAATATTGCTCTGTTTTTTTAGTGACAGTTTTTTTCACAGATAATATGTTAAAATATAGCCATACTGTGTGTCTCTGTGAATCATGACAGAGATCATGCTTTTATTATCAGCTAATACAATTTCTGTTTACAGGGTCTCTTAGTTTTCCTCGAAAGCCTTCCTATTTTACATAATTTTCTTAAAATACTTTGTGACTGTTGAAAAATTGATTTCATAAAGTACTTGTTAATTTGTGATTATAAAAGTAATATATTTGGGGAGCTCTGGTGGCCTAGGGGCAAGAAGCTGCACTGCAATCCCAGAGATATGTGGTTTGAATCCACCAGGTGCTCTGCCAGAAAAGGAGGGGCATTCTCCTGTACCTGTCGGATCTGATTGGATGGTACAGACACACACAAAATAATAAAATAAAATAAAAAAAAAAGAGAGATTCAGATTCTCTTGTTTGAAAAAAAGTAATATATTCAGCTTTATAGTTCAGAAAGGAATAAAATAAAAAATGAAAGTCTTTGTTACTAACATTCTCCAAAGATAACTGATTTTAAATATTTGATAAATATCTTTCCTGACTTTTTTTATGAATGTATGTTCACTCATCTGTGTAGATAGCTCTGTCATTGAATGTAGGCTTACTGTGCTATTTTTAATGATGGTTAATTGTATAGCTGTACTGTAACCAACTTTTTTAAAAAAAATATTTATCTGTTGGGGTGGGTTTTTTTTTATTTTTAATGAAAGTTTACAGAGACTTTGGATTTCCATTCATTCATTGTTGCACTTTTCTCCCTCCCCTTCCCCCTTTGCTCTTCTCTTTGAAAAGTAAAATTCTTTCATTGTTATAAAATCCCTCCTCCCAAGTCCACTGCACCACTATGCAGCATTCATTTTTGAACTATCATGACAATAATACCTAATCATATATTCCTTTTAAATAGTTCCCTCATCTAACTAATTTCAATGCAGTATACATAATTTATCCCATCTTTCTCAGTTTCCCCCGAACCCCGATGTCAGTCCTGTTTTATAACAGTGGCACTATGTAGTATTTGCTCTTTTGTGACTGAGGTATTCCACTCAGCATATTGTCCTCCAGGTTCATTTTCTTTTTATTTTTTTTTTTTAATTTATTTTTTTTAGTTTTACTATTTTGTGTGTGTGTACCATCAAATCGGATCTGACCGGTACAGGAAGAGATTGCCCCTCCTTCTCCAGCAGAGCATCTGGTGGATTCAAACCTCTTACATCTGGGATTACAGTGCAACTTCTTGCCACTAGGCCACCAGAGTTCTCCTGGGTCACCCATTTTGTATACTAGTTCATGAGTTCCTTGTTTTGTTTTGATAGTCAAATACATTTACTCTACAAAGAAATAAAAATAATCAGGAGAGAACTGGAGAGAGTCCACAGCAGCCAGGGGTAGTGTCACGTCAGATAAGTGTCTCTCCTTAAGGAGAAACCAGGGGGAGGTTCTTTCTGTAATCCCAAAAAAGGATCCATCTCTATAATGGATGGGAGGCCTCAGGGGCAAGCCCCTGAGGCCAGCTAAGCTGCTCAGGACCCTTCACCAGACACCTGAGCTATCCTGCAGCTGTGGGACAGACCAGGGGGCTTAGAGCAGGAGGTAGAGTTGAGCACCAGTGTGACTACAGGCTTGGGGGGTGGGGTGGTGGTGGGGATAGGGCATGGGCTGCCTGGGTCCTGGGCGCAGTAGCCCTCAGTGCTGACTTGTCCATGACCCTGCAGTACAACAACATGGAGAGGAGTGGTCACAGCACGCCAGAGTTAGCGTGGAGTGGCAGCTCCAGAGAGTCCCATCGGCCTGTGGTCCCAGGGCCACTGTTACTTGTACAGAGCAGTCATTCCTCCCAGAGACTGTGAGCTGGTGCAGGGGTTCCAGGCCCCTCTCATTGCAGGGCTGGTGGTGGTAGGTGAGCACACGGCATTGTCTACACTCAGACACTCTCTGGCACTTCCCTGGGGTCTGCATACTGGATGTAGCGAGCAGAGGCTTCTTCTCCTCCCTGTCTCTTTCACTGGGTTTGTTCAGGCGCAGGTGCCTGCAATGTCAGGTGGCACAAAACCAGACTCCAGTTCTTTCCTTAGCCCTGTCTTCTCACCCAGCATGCCCCCACAGCTGCCACACCTGGGCAGCCTCATGACCCTTAAAAATGTACAGAAAAGAGGCCCCATATTTTCACTAAATGAGAGCAGAGCATACAGTACTGTGGCCTGAGGCGGCACTGACCACGGCCAGCATGGGTGGACTGGCAGGGCAACATGAGCACACCCAGCATCCTCTCCATCTTGCCCGCTATGAGATCTTGCAGTTGCTGTGGGAGCAGTTCGGGGGGGCCAGTTGGGGGGGGGGACAACGACTCTGGGGTGGCCAGATGGAGCGACAGTGCTTGAGGCTGTTGCCCTTGCTGGCTGTGCCCCTGCCCCCACCAGCCAGTGAGTACAAGCGGCCATACGTCATGACTGAGTTCATGCCGTTGGCCGTGGAGAAGGACATGAGGTGGCTCTTGATAGTGACTGGCAGTGGGAGCTTGTCAGTGAGGTAGACAAGCGTGCAAGACACAGTGGCTCAGCAGCAGAGGTCCTGCAAGCTCAACACGTGGTTGGGCCTCCCGATCTTCTCCATGCCGTGACGCATGAACGATTCTTGACAGCTCCTTGAAGGATTCAGTCACATTGAAGTTGCACAGCTGACCTC